CACCTTCTATCCAGGCTTCCTTAGAGTCTTGGGAAATTGAGACAAATCCAGGGCTCCACAGATGAGTCAGGTAGGGGTCCCCATTCCTATTGCTTATAAGCATGTGGAGGTCTCCTGTCCTGAGGGCAGTGTTCAGCCCCCCAGCAGGTGGTGCCACAGCTGGTCCTAGCCTTCCCACCCCGGGGACTGCCTGTTCCCCCAGAGTCCCCACCACTGGGTGGGAAGGCGGTGCAGTTCTATAGAGCCAGCCATCTCCACAGGGAGGAAGAAAGTACCTCCCTCCATAGCAGGGCCTCTGGGACCTCCTTGGCCATGGTATCTCTCCTCATCCCCACCCCATCCGGCAGGACATAAAGAGGTGTCTGAGCGCACTAGAGGAGCTGGGCACCTTACAAGTGACCTCACAGATTCTGCAGAAGAACACAGATGTGGTGGCCACGTTGAAGAAGGTATGGTAGGAACACAGAGGCAAAAGGTGCTGGTGGCAGGTGGGGTGCAGCAGGGAGCAGGCATCTACCTAGAAACTGAGTTCCTGGCAGAGCAGCCATTGGTCATTGAGGAAGCAGTGGGCTGGCGGGCAGAGGTACTGGGGCCACAAAACTATACTTCTGGGAGTTATGGCCAGGAGGGGTGGCATTGCTGGGGATAGATGGAGTTGGGGTCTTGGGGCTGAGGGAGTAAAGCCAGCTGTGCTTGGTGAATTGGGCTTCTTCGTGGCCAGATTCGCCGTTATAAAGCCAACAAGGATGTGATGGAGAAGGCGGCAGAAGTCTACACCCGGCTCAAGTCCCGGGTCTTGGGGCCCAAGATCGAGGCAGTGCAGAAAGCAAACAAGACTGGAACAGAGAAGGAGAAGGCTGAGGCAGAGAAGGCCGAGGATAAGCTGGCTGGGGAGGAAGCTCCAAAAGGGAAGGTGGAGGACGAGCCAAGCACTGGTGAGGGGCGGGCAGACGGGCTGGCCAAGCATTGGTGAGGGGCGGGCGGGCGGGTGGGTGTCTGGCCCCTGAGCCTCGGTCTCCCCACTGCAGAGGCAGATGCTTTGCAGCACCTTCTGGGAGGGAGCCCAGCTTTGCTCTCTTCCCCAAATCCGCTGGAGTGGTGTGTGCCTGTCAGGGAATCAGCACAGATCCAACTCTGTCCCCAGGAAAGTCAATGAGGGGGTGTTTGAGCTGTGCCTTGTTCCAGTCAGGATGCAGGTGACCTGGGTTACACAGGGGCTGAGGGGACCGAATCATGATACACACATACATCCATGCTGGTTGTGGAGCTCAAAACACATGAGGGCTGTGCATGGCTCAGGAGTTGAGTCATGCCTTGCGAAGGCAGTCAGTGGAGGTTTGGGGGGACAGAGGCTTCAGCTGAACTTGCTGGGCCGTGGGTGGGCTGAGAGGAGACAGAAGCCGTGTCCAGCATGGATGGTGGCCAAGGGTACTTTTGGGATCAGACGTTCCCAATTATAGGTGCTCAGAGCAGCCCTTCTGATGCTCAGGCCAGGGTACACTTGCAGGCTGCCAGGGGAGTAGCAGGGAAAACAGGCTACTGCACTGGGCAGGTGTAGGCATCAAGGTGGACAGGGATTTGCTGGACCACCGTGTCCAGTGCAACTCCACCCCAGGATGCGTGAAGGGTGCTAAGGGTCTTTCAGGGCCCTGTCTCCAAGCTGATATGCTCTTGATGAGAGGGTGGAGGGATCCCCAACAGGAGCCCAGCAGTAGCACATGATCCCTGTGTCCCACCCAGATCTTTCAGCTCCGGTGAATGGTGAAGCCACATCTCAGAAGGGGGAGAGCCTGGAGGACAAGGAACTTGAGGAGGGCCAGGACTCGGAGGGGCAGAGGGGCGGTTCCTCTGAAGACCTACATGGCGAGTAAGTCACAGGCCAGTACAACCCCATGTCTGTGAGCTTCTCACATTGGGCTGAGCCCTGCTAGTCTAGAAAGGGTCTCAAGGGAAGTCACCCCCACTGGCCCCCAGCTGGCTGGCACTTTCCTCCTGGTGGCCTCTACCAAGGTGGCTTCAGGGATTTGAGCCTCTAGGCCTCTGCCTCTTGGGCAGGTGGCTTCTTGCTGACCCTCCAGAATGGCGCCAATAGGTAGAGCGAGCATTTATTGAGTGGTTGGCCTGCACTGGGCCTGGCTGGCCCTTAGGACATTGCACCCTCTCTGGTGGGTGGTGGAGAGACAGAAGGAAAAGTGTTACAGGGGACTTGGGTGCTAGACTTGGGGCACAGCTGTCCTTGGGGCCCTTCTCCACACTTATGGTCCCAGAGATGGGAGGGGTTTGAGGGCACCTCATGCCACCTTTGCTGTGTTTCCATCAGCAGCCTGCAGGAGGGTCCTGACCTGGACGGGCCTGGGAGTGACCAGCAGGAACACGAGCGGTCACAGATGGACTCGGAATCCCTGGATGAGGAGAGCTGAGCTGCAGGCAGCCGAGCCAGCCCCCACCCCGAGCTCAGCCCACAGTAGATGTCTGTAGGCCTGCCCTGTCCTTCACAGCCTCCCAGGGAAGCAGAGAACTTTTGGGGAAACGCTGTGCTGTTTGTTTGTATTTGTCCCCTTGGGTTTTTTTCTGCCTAATTTCTGTGATTTCAAACCGACATGAAATGACTATAAAGGTTTTTTTAATGAAAAAAGAAATTTTATTGGCTTGGTTTTTCTAGCATTACCAGTGCAGAGGGGCTGGAGCTGGGAACAGTTTGCTGCCATCAGAGGAGCCCTTTGGGGACAAAGGGTTTAGCCTCTGGCCACTGTGTGTTCTAGGCCCAGCCCAACCAAGAGCAGATGAGAATGGGGCCAGAGCAAATCTTTTCGAGGAGGAAAGGGAGAAGTAAAAATGTCTCGACTTTGTCTCTCATGCAGAGGCCATGATTTGACCCTTCCTGCATGTGGCAGCCCAGTGCCAGGCAGGACAGGAATCACGACTGGGAGGATAGGGGTATAAGTAGGCCAGGAGGTTGGGGACTATGTCGGTCTCCTCCCACCTAGGCTTTAGGTAGCTCTGGGGCACCCCTGGTAAGTGGGCATTCATGGCGGATACTGTGGTTTGTCTGTTGTCTTCAATGTTCAGGAGCTATGAGGGAGGCCTTGACTTAGCCATGTGGCCTTAGTCAAGGGACCTTCCCACTCAGGCTTCCCTTTCCTCATCTGTGTAAAGGGGTTGACCCCAGCCTCACAGGACTGTTACATAGGTTCACACAGGGAATATGGGCATAGCTCCTAATGAGGTGCCCAGCACACAGTGGTTGCTCATTTGACACCCCAGCCCATGATGGCCAACTTCCCTCCAGCCCAGCCAGCAGTCAGACTGATGGGAAGGGGGTCCTAACTTTTGTCCAATGTTTGCTTGAATGGATGAGCCCGAGCCTGTTTTCTGCAAATGGCTGTATGTCTAATGTTGTAGCCTCAGGTGACTGTGTGAGACAGACTGAGGAGGAGGTGTGAGAAGACTTCCTGCCCTATCTTGTCACAGCTCCATCACCTGGGGGCTATCCTCAAGGTGTCTGCTTCCCTAGTTTGGAGCTTTTGTGCACCCTGGGTGTTCACTGCCCCTGGTGTCCAGGGCAACCCCTTTGGGGTAAGCTGGCCCATCTATCCTACATTTCCTGGGAGTTCAGAGTACCAGAGCCATTTTCTGAGAAGAGGGTGCTTTATGGGAGATAGCAGGGTTATGGTTTGTCAGCAAGAGGGTAGCTTTCTGGGATGGTGGGGGATGCACAGAGCTCAGGCTGTGATGTGGTACCTGCTTGGCTGGAGCCGTGAGCAAGGCCAGCAAGGGAGCTGCTGACACATGGGTATCCTGAGTATGCATCTCTCTTCCTTTCTTTCTTTCTTTTTTTTTTTTTTTGAGAGACAGTCTCATTTTGTCAACCTCAGTAGAGTGCTGCGGCATCACAGCTCACAGCAACTTCCAGCTCTTGGGCTTAGGTGATTCTCTTGTTTTAGCCTCCTGAGTAGCTGGGACTACAGGTGCCTGCCACAACGCCTGGCTAATTTTTTTTTGCAGTTTGGCCGAGGCCAGGTTTGAACCTGCCACCCTCAGTGTATGAGGCTGGCACCCCCTGAGTGTGCGTTTCTGTAGCACATGGGGCAGCAAGACAGGGATGGGATCAGAAGCAGCAGATGGGTTCACTGCCTGCCAGTGTCTTCTGAAGATCATAGCCTCTGACCTCTCTGGCCTGCCTCCTGTAGCCTGCCTCTCGCATGCAGGGGAGGAAGAGGCTGCATTAGACACACATGGCCCAGCCCTGGTCTCCACCTCCAAGTGCACATAACATGGGCTCTGGACCTGGCCTGCTAAGGGGCCACAGAGCCTTAGGTGTGGACCAGAGGTGCCAGGTGGCACTGTGGTGAGTGGCTGGAGGCAAGAAGCAGCTGGTTTTGTCACCACCTCCTGCCCTTTCAAGTTGTGCAGTCCTCAAGCCAAGCTGATACAAAGGCCCTAGCAGCTTTGTCCCAGTGAAAACCTTTCTCTTGGCCACACAAGGGCTCCGTAGAGTCAGCAGCAGTCTGCCTGTGATGCTGGCAATTTTCTAGTGCATTCTGGTATGTGGGAACATGGTTCTGTAGCCCCTCACAGTGCTGGTTGAGGGCCGAAAATAGGCTTTCAGAGCGAGGATGGAGCTGCCTAGACCCCAGGACATAGCAGTACCCCATGTTAAGCTGTTAGCTATGGGACTAGACTGTGGGGCTGGAAGAGTCCCCTTAAAGATGAAAGTTTCCTAGCTCAGCGCCTGTGGCTCAAGCGGCTAAGGCGCCAGCCACATACACCTAAGGTGGCAGGTTCGAATCCCTAGCCCGGGCCCACCAAACAACAATGATGGCTGCAACCAAAAAATGGCCAGGCATTGTGGTGGGCGCCTGTGGTCCCAGCTACTTGGGAGGCTGAGGCAGGAGACTCGCTTGAGCCCCGGAGTTGGAGGTTGCTGTGAGCATGGTGCCATGGCACTCTACCCAGGGGGATAGCTTGAGGCTCTGTCTCAAAAAAAAAAAAAGATGAAAGTTTCCTAAAGTGGGGTAAATGGGGAGACTTCTAGGCCTGGCACATTTTTGCTTCACTTTGGTAATCACAGTGCTCGCTCAAGATGGTTCAGGGAAGGTCACTGGTGTGTGATCTTAGTGACCCCAGGCTCCCAGGTCAGGAGAGGAGCCAGCAATGCTTGAGGAGAGGTGGCAGGCGTGAGGAGTTTGGAGAGTGAAGGCTCAGCACAAGACCAGCTCTAGCCCCCAAGGTCCAGGGCTTTGGGGAGCTGAGCTTGAGCTGGGTTTGGGACTGGGGAGAAGGTTCGGAGTTAGTTCCTCAGACAGGGCAGGGAGACCCCTGTACCCAGCCTGTAGCTATAGCTACTGTCTGGCAGGGGGTGAAGCAAAGGGCCCTACCAGCCAGCCGAGTGGAGGGCTGTGCTGCAGGCTCTCCAAAAGCTCCTCCAGCCCCTGCCATGCCTGACGCACACGCTCAAAGCTTTGGGCCAGCTGTGCTGCTGGCAGCTCCTCCATGGAGCCAGTGGATGACACAATGCCATAGAGGTTGCAGAGGCTGTGCCGTGCCTGCCCAATCCGCCCCTGGAGCTCAGCAGGCAGGCCCTGGAGGCCACAGGCCAGGCCACTATAGGCTGTATGTAGCTGTTGGGCAAGGCCACAGACCCTGGCCAGAACCCCTGTGTCCTGCTCCTGTGGGAGGAAGGCACTAGGTGAGGGGTGGGAGGAGGGATCATCAAGGGGACAGGAGGGCCTCAGCTCGACCAGGCGTACCTCCTGGCTATTGGTGTCCTCCACACTGGTGCTTAAGCCCTGGTCTAGACACAGCTCCCCATCCAGAGTCTGCTTGGCCTTTTCAATCTGGAAAGAGAGAACCCAGCTTCAGGGGACAATAGCTTCTTGACAAGGACCTGTCATGCTCTGTCCCAGGGCTTAGGGGAGTTGTTCAGAGTCCCGGCCCTGGAACTTCGTTTGTGTCCAGACCTTTCCCAGGGCAGGTGGAAAGGCCATGAGCTTAGAGTCATTTGTACCCTGATGGGCTCATTGTCTTATATAAGGAGGCAATAATTCAGGTTCCCCGTGAGTTCATCAGGAGATGAAAAACAACTCCTCAGCTCAAGACCCTCCCATGGCTCCCCATTTCCCTAAAGATAAAATCTAGTTCCTCACCATGGCCTACATATGCTGGCCCCCGGGACATCCCTGGCCTCATGTCCATCTACATCCCATTGCTGTCTCTGCCCTGGCCACACTGGCTCATTGCCATACCCAACTACTCCCAGCATGCCCCTGCCCCCACCCAATGCTCTTGCCCTCCCAGCCTTTGCCCCTGCCATGGAGACCTAGAACCAGGTGCTCATGTACCTGTCCTAGGTGCGTCCAGGCATGTGGTCCAGGCTACACAATGTGGTAGCCCCCAGACCTCTTGTCCCATCTCTGCTATTCTCAGAGGGACATCCCTGTCTGGAGTGACCTGGGTGTTTATTTGGTATTTATCTCCCCGTGGGATGGGAACTCTTTGTTGATCACTTTTTCCTTTTTGTTGATCACTGTTTTCTTGGTACATAGTAGTCTGACAAAACACACACACAGGGTCCAGTCTTCCTGGTCCTCTCAATAGCCTGTAGAAAAGGCAACAAATGTTGCCTCCAAATTGCTATTGCCCTCCCAGACCCCTCCCCTGCCTTGGAGATCCAGAGCCAGGGGCTTGGGCAGACCTGTCCCTCTGGGGGTATCCAGGCATGCGCACCTTGCTCTCTCTCTCTGCCCACCGCTAACACCTCGGTAGACCCTGGCAGCTCTGCTTTTGAGATATACCCAGAACCCCACTGCTGCTCACCTCTGCTGATGCCAGTCACAAGGACCATCATTACTTGACTGGATTTTTTTAGAAATGTCCTAGCGTAGCTGTCTCCTCCAACCCCTCCTACTCTACTGGGTCTGACCCCTCAGTTGTAGTCAAGGATCTTCTTAAATAAAGCCTACCTTAGATTTGGATACTCCTCTGGCTACAGACCTCCATGGCTCCCAACTCCCTTGAGGTCAAAGCCCAAGTCCTCCCTGAGGTCCACCTGGCCCTGCACAACCTGCCCCATCCCCTCCCTTCCCTTGCCTCCTCCCTCTCTCCCCTTCGTACTCTGCTCCAGGCACAAGAGCCTCCTCATTGTGCCTCCAACATGACAGACTATGTCTTACCCCAGCCCCTTTGCTTGGGCTGTGTCTCTGCTCAGATGACACTTTCAGATCTGACTCAAATGTTTCCCTCTCAGGATGGCCACCCTAGCACTCCCATTCCCTTACTTATCCTGACACTTTTTTTTTTTTTTTTTTTTTTTTTTACAATTCTGAGCATCATGGGATGTACCATATAGTAGTTTGTTAATTGTGTCCCCCCCCCAACTGCAGTGTCAGCCCTCAAGGTGAAGACTTTGTCCTTAGTATTCCCCAAGGCATGCAGTAAATACTTGTTAAATAGGGGAGGAGAGAGGGGCAAATAGGAAAGGAGAGAGCAGATCGGTATGTTCCTACCTAATGGGTACAATCTAAGAGTATATGACACACCTCCTGGGTGTGGGACACAACAACAGAACTTTACCTAACACATGCAAACATTGTAACTTAATCATTTGTACCGTGGTATTAATCTGAAATTTTAAAATACTTGTTTAGGGCGGCACCTGTGGCTCACTGAGTAAGGCGCCAGCCCCATATACTGAGGGTGGTGGGTTCAAACCCGGCCCCGGCCGAACTGCAACCAAAAAAGAAAATAGCCGGGCATTGTGGCAAGCACCTGTGGTCCCAGCTACTCGGGAGGCTGAGGCAAAAGAATCACTTAAGCCCAGGAGTTGGAGGTTGCTGCAAGCTGTGACACCACAGCTCTCTACCAGGGGTAATAAAGTGAGAGACTCTGTCTCTACAAAAAAAAAATACTTGTTTAAATGAGCAAACCCTTTCTCCTTCTCTTGCAGTTTCCCTTTCTTGAAAACACTGGTGGTGAATTCTTGCCCAGTCTACTTTGGTGGGAGGATCCAAAGCAGAAAAATACTTTGTGAAGAGCCACTTACAACATGCTGTGAGGTATGGTGCCTTGGTTCATTCTTTGACACATGTTTACTGAATTCCTGCCAAGTGACTACTTGTCCTGTGTGCTGGAGACACAGCAGCCACTCTGCACCCTGGGGATGTCTGCAGTGAGGTGAGGTGTCCTGAGGGTCCCAAGGATAGACTTGCCCTTGGTACTGTGAACATTTGGGGCCAGATCATTTTCGGAGATGGGATCTATTCTGAGCCCTGCAGGGTGCTGAGCAGCATCGCTGCTTGCACTCACTCCATGCCTGGAGCACCTTCCCCAGTCCTGACAACCACAAATGTCCCCAGACATCCACCAAGTGTCCCCTGGGGACAGAATCACCCCGGGTGAGACCCCTAAGGTTAGGGGATTTCACTGACCTCCAAAAGGCTCTGCTTCCTACAATCACCCACCCTGCTGAGGTTGGGGGGGGGGGCTGCACACATTTAAATTCATACCCTGAGAGGGGAGGGAGTAAGAAGGGGAGTCCCAGGGACTGGAGGTCCCCTGGTCTGTACCATCTGCCTATTGAAAGTTTATTCTGATGTTCAATGTGAGCAGGGAGCAACCTGAATATTCCTCCAAACAATTAACTCAGGTCTCCCCCTGGGTGCTGTGGACATTGGGGCTGGAGTGGGGCCTTCTTGAGCACTGCAGAAATCCTAGATGTGCCTAGAGCAGGGAAAAGCTCTTACCAGTGTGAAGCAACCCTCCAGTTGGGCCAAAGCATCCCTGGCTTGGAACTGGCCGTGCTGCAGGTGGCTCATGGCATGTTCAAAACCTCGCTGGCGGAAGCCAGGGGTCAGGTCTCCTAAACGGACAAAGTAGCTTCCCTGGTCCGCGAAGAGCACCTTTGGCCCTGGCTCAGAGGCAGCCAGTTGAGCTAGAGAGGGGAGAACAGACTCAATCCAAGAACCCCCTTTGGGCAACTGGCCAAGAGTTTTATAAAAGTTAAGCCCCCACTAGAAGCAGCATGAGCCTGGGGGACCTGGCTCAAGATGGGTGTGCCCCTCCCCAGCATCTTATCCTCACCTTGCTCTGCAGCGCTCATTGGGTGGAAGATCTCCCCCATCCCCTCCAATTCATCCTGCAAAGCCGCAAAGCCCAGGATTCCTTCAGGGCCACACATGGCTGCCAGGTGCCCCACATCCTCGCTGACCAGGGCTGCCTCTTGGGGAAACAGGGCCTCATCACACACAAGGTGCCTGGTGGTGGCTGCGGGTTCCTGGGCAAACTCCAGGCCTGCAGAGAGAGAGTCTGGGGGACTGGAAACCCCAGTGGTCAGGGCTTTTGGGGGGCTCAAGATGGTCTGTTCCTTGCCTTTGTCTGTGGTCCTGCAACTGGTGATTTCACCCCAGATAGTGTCTTGGGTACGAGGTAACAAGTTTTGGAGAGTACCAAGACCAGTGTGGACAGCCCCTATGGCCACACTGCCTGCCCCACTGAGCCCAGTGGACATTGTGTCTTTGGTGCTGGTCAGCATGGTCTTGGTGGTGTCCATGCCAGTTTGGACAGCCCCTTTGGCCACATTCACAGTGCCAGTCATCCCACTGCAGATGGTGTCTTTGGTACCAGTCAGTGCAGTCTTGGTAGTTTCCACAGCAGTCTGGACAGTCCCTTTGGATAAGTTCACTGCCCCAGTGATCCCAGTGGTCACTGTGTCTTTTGTACCCATGGCCATAGTCTTGGTGGTGTCCAGGCCCCCTTGAACAGCCTCTTTGGCCACATTCACAGCACTGGACATTCCACTACAGATGGTATTCTTGGTGCCAGTTAGGACAGTTTTGGTGGTGTCCATGCCAGTCCTTGTGGTTCCTTTGGCCACATTCACTGCCCCTATAACCCCAGTAGACACTGTGTCTTTGGTGCCACTCAACACAGTCTTACTGGCATCTAGGCCAGTCTGGATAGTCCCTTTGGCTGCACTCATGGCACTGGTCACTCCAGTGCAGACAGTGTCCTTGGTGCCAGTCAACACAGTCTTACTGGTATTCAGGCCAGTCTGGACAGTCCCTTTGGCCAAATTCACTGCACCCATGACCCCAGTGGACATAGTGTCTTTCGTACCCATGGCCACAGACTTGGTGGTGTCCAGACCCCCCTGGACAGCTCCCTTGGCCACATTCACAGCACCAGTCACTCCACTGGTGAGAGTGTTCTTGGTACCAGTCAGGACAGTCTTAGCGGTATCCAGGCCAGTCTGGACAGTTCCTTTGGCCACATTCA